GATTTGAAGTTTCATACTGCCAATTCTTGTAGTACTATTCATTTCCAAACACGATTTGAGGACAAATCTTTTTCAAGAGGAGGGGAATGATACGAAATATGGGCCGCTTATGGGCCATGTTTTGGGCTGCAAGAGATTGAATCTTTTAGTAATAGTTAGTAGTTTATTTTCCAGATTTCTATTTTATTTGCGAGGAATAAATTCGGTCCAAGACCTCATGTTGAGTTGGATCCGATTTATAGAGTCTAGGCTCACCATTACTTAAGTTGGTTAGTTAGCTTTTATTGGGTTATGTTGGGCCAGCTTAAAAGCCTTCATTGGATCGATTATAAGCTGACCATTAGATAGTGGATTTGAGTAGTAGAATTGGCCCAAAGGCCTAGCCTAACTGAGTTAGGGTTTTCCCAAGTTACTTTAGGTTTTCAAGTTGTATGGCTATATATAGCCAAGGCAAGAGACCTTCATGGGCAGTTTTTGAAGATCAATAAAATTGTGAGTTTTCACTTTTCTCTTTCCAAGAGAGCCTCTTTGAATATTTGAGAATCTTTCTCAAGTTATTCAAATGAACTTATCAATCAAGTAGTCTCCTTGATTGTGGCGTTCCTCTACCTTACAATTTGGTTCATTAATTCGATTGGTTGCGGGTTGAGATAGTATCAATATTGTTCGTGACTTCTAGGGATTAGTTGGGTCAAATTTCCGCTGCCTAAGCCATGGTGTTTTGGTTGTCTAGATCGGGGTTTCACATCACTACGGTGGACGCTTAAACCCTCAAGAGGGTATTAATTCTTTGTTTACTTGGTGGGTGTCAAACATATGAGTACTTGATACATGTGTAACTGTTATAAATGATTGGAGATTTTAAAAATGGGGTCGAATGTGTACTTTACCGCACTCGTTCTCATTTGAAATGAATGGAATTAAATATATTGAATGAAATGAAGGATTGAATGATATTGATGATTAAATGAAATGAAATGGTATACTATGGCTGCATACGTCATTGGAATGAATCTCCTCGACTCACAAATATTATATGGGGGACGCCTAAACTCATAGGCCGATCTTGGGATTCGAACCGGCATGGGCTTGGTCGGGGATCTCAGTGAACCATAAAAATAACATGATAAGCTTGATCTATTGAAGAAATCTTACTTGGCCTACTCGTGCAGTAGCGCCTTTATCGTCGTTCAGGTCCGGTGGGGAGTTGTAAGGTGGACGGACATGAGAAATAAGTGGAGTTCTACGGATTTGAAATATCAACCCGGTTGACGGAGTCTCATCACAAGAAGGTATACGAATAATACTAGCAAAGCAAGTGAAAATTAGTTCCTGAAAACTACCATATTCTTGAATTGTTTCTGTTTAATTTCTGGCTCGAATTGTTAATTATTTGAATATTATGGTTTACTCGTTAATTGGGATTGTTACTTGGACAATGTGCTTGCATGTGTGTTCTTGGCCTCACGAGCAATTGTTTACCCCGTAGATTTGTTTTCCTTAACAGGAATGGGGGAGTGAAACTTGGTGGAACCCGTTGGATTTACGTTTGTATTAGGGTTTCAAATGTAAGTGACTAGACCTTTTGGCTATTGTATATTTTGGAATTCGATGTATCTTTTGGGATCCTGATGTAAGAATTGGGTACTTGATGTATTTTGGAACTTGTGCTGTAAGTTTGAATGTTAATTGTGGAAGTGACTTCTCTTTCTTACTTTATCTTGTCGTGATAGCTAGTATTGTATTAAAATTGAACGGAAATTGTACCCAATCCTAGCAAGAGTTGGGCAGGCGTCCCGTGGATACCCTTTTGTTCGCCTTAGGGAGAAGTGGGGACGTTACATCCTGAATTTTTACGATAACAAAAAAAAGGAAAAAAAGAATAATGCTGATCTAATGATGGTTTGTTTTGATAATTACTTTCACTGTTATTTCTCCATTTGGTATCAATTTTCTATTTTTTGGCTGATGATTGCTGAATGTTGGTATGTTGATAATTACTTAATTCTAGTATCATTTTTCTATTTTTGTTTGAAATATTGGATTCTCTGTTATTGCTGTTGGATTATGGTTGCTAATTTTTACTCGCATCTTATGATGACAAAAAAGGGGAGAAATGGATGCTATGTGTAAGGGGAAGTTATTATAAATTTGAAATTTTGGATGCAATGAGTAAGGGGGAGCTTATGCTCAACTTTTTTTTCTTCCATCCATTATTTTGTCATCATAAAAAAGGGGGAGATTGTTGATCTTAGTCCCTATTTTTTGATGTTTATAAAACAAATCGATGATACTAATATCTCTTCAAGATATACTTTCATTTATGAAGCAAATCATATTCAAAAATCAAATGCAATTGAAAGAAACAAAGGTTGCTAAAAGCTATCGGACGCTTGTGAAGACAAGATCGGACGTCCGATAATCATTACGTAACTTCGGACGCATGAAGAATTCCATCACCGGACGTCCGAAGGAAATAAGATATTCTCTCTAACTCACTGACCTCGATCGGACACAAGTATCGGACGTCCGATAGGATCCTTCAAACTCGACGAAAGACGTCGGACACTCACAAAGACAGTACCGGACGTCCGATAGAATTGAGATATTCTTTCTAACTCATTGTCTACTTTTGGACGCAATCACCGGACGTCTGATAGAATTGAAGAAAATCTCTTAAACTCAGTGCCTGTTATCGAACGCAAAAAAGCAGACTACCGGACGTCCGATACCCCAACGGCTAGTTGACTGTTCAACTGCTTTCTATCCGTTGGAAGCATTAATGAAGTACTTTCTTGGTCTTGTATAAATAGTGCATGATCAGAAATTTCAAATAACTTTTGCACACTGAAGATACAAAAGATCTAGAGTGTTTCTAATGAGAAAATACTCTTTAAGAAAGATTTGTAGTCTTGGTAGTGTGAAGTTCGCTGTAAACTTTTTATTTGTGAGTGAATATACTTCAATAGTATAACTCTATGAGGGTTATTCTGAGAGATAATAAAACTTCCTAACTTGACCAAGTGGAGACTGGGGCAAGGAGGAAGTAAACCTTCCTTTGTACACAAGATTGGTTTTATTTCATCAATTTGAAGAAGTTTGTTTGAATTGGTTTACAAGTTCAAGAGGAGCTTGGTAGTCAATTGGTTTGCAATTCTTCCCTTCTTATTTACTTATTGTTATGTTGTGATTTTTAAATTGTTTATCTCTCCTACTTCTCTCAAGTGATATTGTTCGTTCATTAATTGATTTATTGTGTGATCACTTAGAAAAGATGGTAAATTTCATATTAAGGAAAAAATGCCCATAACTTGATTAATTTTCTAATCAACCTAATTCACCCCCCTCTTAAGTTGTTTTCGGGCCTTACAAATCCATGGAAACCCAAAATTCTCTTGAAAATTAGTACTACTACTATAACTTCAAACTTAACAATTAACATAAATGGGTTGTCAATATAAAATAACAAAAATCAATGGTCTATTAGGTCAAAATAATAGAATTTTCCCTTATCCAAATTAATCAGGTATCAAAGACACATAGGATGTAGTAGTTTAGTATTGTAATTTCAAAAACTGATGTAAAGTCTTAACCCTTGTGAAAAAATGTTAGATCAACTCCAATGCCGTGTCATGGACTCATTATACGCCCATCCAACAGTAGCCATTGCATTGCCGATTGGCTTTCCGACATGTTCAACCATGTGGGGGGCCCATACATTTGAATTCACGAACTTTTTTGGTCCCCATAGTGCACTTGTCACCATGCGGCAGGACAGCCGGGAACGCATCAGAAAGATGCGTATAAATGCTATTGAAAAAGAAAAGATAGTGGGTCCTGTTTTTTGGAATGGATAAATCTGGTTAAACACAGACAATGGCCAAAATTTCATTGTGTGAGTTAACATTCAAATTTTTTTTTTTCAATGGTTATTTTTTTGTTCTCTCTATATAAACAAATAAGATACCTTTTTTTAAAAAAAAATATTACCTTCAGAGGAACGCGGAATTACGTGATCGAGAAGTACATCCTCAATTTCGATCAGACTTGATCGAGCACATTTGGGAACAGTTTGGAGGCAATAACAATGAGTGTATTTTGATTGTCAATTATTTCACTTTATTTACACATACTGATTTACTTGCATCATCAACATATTTTCCAATCACCTTTTTATGTCATATACATTATATCAAAAAAGTACTACTACAGTACTTTTTTACAAAATTATTTCAAATAATTTGCAATCCAAACACACTTAATGAAAGCTAGTATTTATTATGTTATTATTTGTATTTTATTTGAATTAAATTATGTAATATTATGTTATGTAGTTCAATTAATTACACAAATAATTATTAATTAAGTATGGATTATTATGATATTTTCACATTTGAGTTATCATATATTTGCTTAATAATTACATAATTATTTTTCAAAAAATAAAAATATATTATTTTTTGAGAGATAGAAAAAGATATATTGTTCAAACTCAGAAATTAATAATATTATTTTTTAGAAAATAAAAAATCCAAAAGGTAAAAAATTTAATGAAAGTTAATAATTTATTTTTTAAAAATAACAAAATTATTTTTAAAAAAATTACTTTATTTATTTACGGGATATGAGTTGTGTATTATTAAAATAAATATTTAATTTGATTGTTGATCCATACTATTATACTGTGTGGAGATAGTGGAATGTTGTTGTAGGCCTGTAGCATTTGAGTGTAATCTATTGTGGACGTCCTTAGTAGGTGAACAAAAGTACATTTACCACTTATATGAATTTAACAAATTTGGGTCACCCGTAGTGATTTTTTTTTTTGAAAAATGTTTAAAAAATAGTAATTAATAATTTATTAGCAAAATTATGCTTCAAATAGAATTGCAACTAAAATTTGATTGCAATTTTGGTACACGAAGACGAAAAGGGGAATTGTCGAACCAATTCGTTCAAGTTAAAGGAACAAAACGTTTAGAAGTCTTAAAGAAACTAGACGTTGGTCAAAGTAGAAAAACCCATTTTTGTTGAAAATTGAGAAGCTCTTCTCTTACTCCACTGTCCATCCCCAAGAAATTGCACTCTCCATCTCCCACTGAAAGAAAATCAAACACACTTCTCCCCCAACTCTCTAACGATCGATCATCCTTCTCCAATGCTGAGGGAAAAGTTCTTCACCAACGCTCTGCAGCAACAAAGGGTGGGTTATCTTATGAACCTTTTTTCTCTCTAATTTTCCCCAATTTCTTCTTGCCCTATATTTGTTGTCAAAATTTTCAGCCCAATTTTTTGGATTTTGTTTCAGTTATGGATGCAATCATGTCTCCTTCTGCAGGTGTTTAAGTTGTGGGTGTAATTACTTAAAACTCTTTCTTGTACAACCCAAGGAGTTTGAGCGGGTACGAGTGCTGTTGCGGATTCATGTTTAGCTAAGAGGGGCGAAGGTGAGTTTTAATGACTGAGTTGGTGAATCAGTATATACTTCGATGTTTTTTTTTTTTTTTTACTAAAACCATTAAAACACATGCATTAAAAATTGCTGAATGTTTTCTTGGCTCTTGGGGCAGGTACCATAGCTACTTGGTTAACTTGCAGGACGGTGCTTAATTTCCCAGTGCTCAGAAAGCTTGCGTTCAGGCTTCTTTCCCGTCTTATCAGAAATAAGGTACGTCAATACTCAGAAGTGTAGGATATGTTTGTCATTTTTCATCTCTGTTTATTGAGATATCTGGTCTAAGATTGTTGAGCTAATAGATGCAAAAGGGCCATGTATTGCTTCCAAATGCTAGTTTGTTATTGGCTTCATCTGCATTGGAAAGTCATTGATCTTGTCAAGATCTAGTGGGCTATCATAGAAAAGAGGAATGTAGATCTTGGTTAACATTTTAGTCTCTGGGGTTTTGCTTTCAGATCAAATGCTTGTGAAATACTAAGGTTCTAAAACAGACATTTGGTTCCCCAGAATGATTGATTTCCACAATAGTTACTTCCATAACACACAAGTCACTGTGAAGCTGTACTGAATTTTGACAGCATGTTTCTCCTTTGGGATTAAGATATTTTTATCTTTATCTGTTGGCAAATTTGGTCTAAGATTTATGAGCTAGTAGATGATTGGACCAACCAGTTATTTATGGGTGTAACAGTAAGTTTATGAAGAGGATCGTTAAAAGTGGACAACCTCCTTTAATTTAGGGAGGCATTTAAGCTTTGTTTTTCTTTTCTCCAAAATAGTATCTTTGACCTTTAAAGTATTTTGTGTATGACTGTGTGTTCGTGTGGAATTCAATGCTTTGTGGAGTGAAAATTTGGTTTCATGGTTGACAATCAAAGTTTTCTGGTATAAGCTGGAGTCAGGATGAGGTTTGCTGAGCTAGAACTAGGGCAAAGAATTTCTCTTATTTTTGTAGTTTGTGCGGATGACTCGTCCCTTGCACCTTTTAGAATAGTGTTCCTAGACCTTGATGGTAAGGGCTATTTAGCTAGAGTTGAAGGTTATAGTACAGCTAGAGCTAAGTTTCTGCATTATTTGTTTCTTTTTCTTGGAGGGTCTGCAGGTCTCTCATTGGTTTAACTGATCATTGTCGCTTTTACCAAGCAATGGTAGTTTCTGGTTTTCTATGTGCTGCTATTTGGATTTATAATCTTTGCTTTCTTATTTTCAGGTAATATGGAAGAAAAGAGAAGCACTGTAGCGAAGAGGACAAGGGCTCAAACAAAGCATCAATTGAAGGAAATGATTGATGAATACTATGAGAAGAAGCAGGAGAAGAAAGGGAAAAGTGAGAGAGCCCATGACTCTCATGAAATGAACGCTACTGAGGGGAAAAAGAGGGAAGAATTGGAGTCAGGTATAGTCACAAGAAATTTCGAAGAAATGGTTAGAATTAGCAGCAGTAGCAATGATGAAGAGCAAGAGGGGGAAAATGTGAACCGGAAGATGTTCAATAGAAAGAGGAAGCGAACTGTTAAAAAGATCTTCTATGATGATGAGAGTAGTGGAAGTGATGTTAAGATTTTGGGGGAAGAGGAAGTGGTGGAAGAAGTGAACTGGAAGGAATTTAATAGGATGAGGAGGAGGAGGAGGAGGAGAGACACTGTTTACAAGGGTAAGAATTATGATGGGGAAACTGGAAGTAGTGTTAAGATTTCGCAGGAACAGGGAAAGGGTGAAGAAGTGATTGCAAATAAAATGAACAAAAGGAGGAAAACTGTTGCTAAGGGTAAGAATGACTGTGATGATGGTGATGGGGGAAGTGGAAGCGATGTCGTGTTTGTGACTGAAGAAGATGTCCCTCCAAACTTGAGATGTAATTATGTAAAGGGTAGGAAGCAGTTTTCATCTAGAGGAAAGAGGGGTAGTAGTGATGGAAATACAAGAAGTGAAAGGGTGAACATGGAGAGTGAACCTTTAGGGAATGGAGCTCAGGACAAGGGAAAGGGTCTTCTGATTGACAATCTTAATACACTCGACTCTAAATCCTCTAGCTCTGAAGAGGATGCTGATGATTCTGATAGAGACTATAGCGAGGAAGAATCAAGGAGCTCTAGTACGCAATCACACCATTGGGGTTATTGTAGTGAGGATAAACTTGAAGGAGGGATAGGCAAAGATGATGGCTTCATTCAACTCCCAAGTCCAAAGTCCAGAAAACAGGAACCGGGACTTGGAACATTAAGAAAGTGCCACCTTCATGTTTTTGACAGCGAAAGTTTTGATTCTTCAAGTGAGGATTCTGATTCATCAGATCAGGTGCCAAAGAAGAAAAAGGAAGGTAGTAGGATAACTAAGCCCTCGAAGAGAAGAGAAAGAGATGTGGATTACATGAATATTCTTCTGGGGTCCATGGTGAAGGATGATGAGCAGACAAAGGAAAATCCATTTGGTTTTGAAGACAATGGTCCTACTCATACACTGCCGTTAAAATTCAGATTTGATGATGAGGATCCTGCCCCACCCGAGAAAGAAGACTGGCAGAAAGAAATTGATGATCTTTTTACTGAGATGGAAATGTGCCTCACATTACCTGCTTCTGACTTTACTGAATCATCCAAGGTAATTGTACTTTGTTAATTTTGAGAGATTTGACATTCTCTGATCACTACAGTGTGATTTCTGGATTTGGAGTTACGTAAGTATGTACATAGTTTCCATGACAGGTTGAATAGTTTAACTAATCCTAGAGAAACAAAAGATTGTTTCTTCAATAAATTATTGCTGATTTGGGTTTGTTTGGATAGGAGTTTATTTGGATGATTTATTTGAGATAATTACTGTAGCACTTTTTGTGATGTGATGTATGTGAGATAAAAAGGTGATTGGAATTTGTGAAGTAAATTATTTTATTTCAAAACTATGCAATCCAAACACACTCAATGATTTGAAAGATAGCTCATTATTATACTACTGCCGTATTCTTTTGGTTATATCCATTCTTTGCTGTCAGCTGAGTTTGGAGATTTTAGTCAATCTGCTAATGTTTTGACTTCTCCCCTGGAATACTGAAGTTGATGCCTTAGAACTTTGAAAAGATGTAGAAACATGCAGTAGGTATCATCTCATGTTGGTCATGTAATATTTGTTTCTTCCTCAGTTATTATCTAATAATCTATGGTTAACAAGATCATGTAGTTTTTCAAATTGTTATAGTTTTTCTGATTGTATGTTTTCTTATGTAGTTTTAAGAATACAATACAAGTTGCTGTTTAATGATCCACTGTGCATGCTATTTAGTTGGTCCTTACTTTGTATGTTTGTTTTTGCTATTGATGGTGTTGGGAAGATTCTATTATTCATTTTAAGTTACTTATGCAACACATGGGAAAAGCTTGCTGTTCTCCTTTTGAACCACTTTTAGAAAATATTTAAGCTAGATATCAATTTTAATGACAGAAAAAGTTTTCTCATCCCTGTCCTGCTGTTAGAAAAGGAATTAATAAAATTTAAGATATTGGTTTTAGTTGATATTTTAACTTGTCTGTGCATGAAAATTTTGATAATGTGGTAGTATGCAATTTTCTCTGCTCTTGTATGATAATTTTACAATATTTGGATTGTAAGACATGTTTTCAATTTCCAAACTTTACAATATTTTGGATTGTTTGATTTGTTTTTTGTCATCGTTGTATTACATAAATTTGTTCTAGAAAATATTCAGTCACATATAGATACTCCTGTCTAGTTTTTTGCGAGATCTCAGTCATTAGACAGAAACATATATAAGTATTTTCAGTGTGCTATTCGTGTCATAAGAAACCTCCCAAGTTTTGCACCCTTCTGGTGAAATTTGCCATTTGGCTTTGATTTGCATTGTCCAAATAATGTCATTGATTTTTTGCTGGCTTTGCCATTAATTTCCAATGATGTTTCTAGTTTCCACACCTTTTGGAATTTTAATATCTGGGTTTCATTCCGAGCACAAGAACATTGATTGAGTTTTCTGCTTATCATGCCTGTTTTACTATTTTTAATTATCCGATTGTCCAAATTGAAACTCATGTGAGAAGTTTTTGTGTTCTTGTGTTGTTGATCATCAGGATGGCACTCATCATGTCACTGCAACGGCCAAGTGCCAAGCAGAATTATGTCGGTCAGGGAAACATCAGCTGATTCTTGAAGAACCAATTGGAATCATATGCAAATGTTGTCAAATTGTCCATAAGGAGATGAAGGAGATTTTTCCTACTCTGGTATGTATTCAACTTGTCATTTGTATTTATATTCTTACTTGAATACCCTTCTTTTGTGCTCCTTATAGATGAACTTGACTGAACTTCATATTCCTAATTCTTTTTTTCACTAAGTTCCTTGCTTTATTGGCTCGAAACATAAGCGAAAGCATGTAAGACGGGGGAACACACTGACAAAAGACAAAGAAACAAGAATTTCTGTTCTAAGCACATGACAGAAACTGCTATTCTAGAATTCACTCTGAAACTTTAGGAGAAATAGGCACAGGCTCAAATTTCATTAGACCGAAGAACCTAGCCAACCACTAACTTTACCACAAAGGTCCTGCAAAATTTGCTTGCAAACATAGTAAACTGGGTACAGCAGACTTTTAGATAACTTTACGGTTTCCACTTCCCCTGAGCTGATAAACTGCAATAACAAATCTCACCCTGCACACATTTCTACCAAATGACTTTCCAGCACAGTGTTGTTCAGCCCATAACAATTCAATATACCAAGTCTTAGCAACTGTATATCTAGCCAGTTCTTAGGGAGTGCAGATGAGAATATATGCTCAGAGATTCATTAGGAGCACAACCATGTTCAACAGGCATACCCCGAGAGAGTAGCCTGTCTTTAGTACTTAATCTCCACTCACATGCGAACCTTAAGCTATAGGAATGTTTAGGCATATATTTCTTTCCACAGACAACTATATAACTGGATAACTATTAGACTGAGATTGAAATTTTTTCATGGCTGATCTGGTAGTGTAGATCCCTGAAGAATTAGGTTTCCAATCTACCTAATTGTCAAAATCTACAATAGGTAAAAAATATGGAGTATCATGTTTTAAAGCAGCAGCACCTCTTAATTTCCTGTCAGAGAACCAAAAAAAAGCACCATTCTTAATGGTAGTGGCCACCTTAGCATTATTTTTACTAGCAAAGAGCTGAATAATCTGGGCTGAGTTGTGTCGCAAAATGATACCTTTACGATGTTATCGGAACTTCATGTTGTTATTTGCATTCCCAGATATTTTTCTAAATTTTATCTAAATTGCTATTGCCTGCAGAAAATGGAAACTCCACGAAGACGGGATTGGGTTGACCTTCGCAGAGGTGATTGCTTTGGTATGCATGAGCTTCATTTTGATGACTCAAGCTTTGGAAACTATTATACCTCCATTGACGCTGAAGGCTCTGTCCTGGATCTTATTCCAGAACATATTAGGATGTCAATGTATAGTCATCAGCTGGATGGATTTGTCTTCTTGTGGAAAAACATAGTAGGAGAAACCTGTATTGAGAAGCTGAAAACTGAACTGTCTGATGATGGAAGAGGAGCCATAATATCACATGCCCCTGGCACCGGGAAGACCTGCCTGACAATTGTTTTTATTCTGTCATTGTTGAAAATGTATCCAATGTGCCGACCCGTGATTATAGCCCCTACAAGCATGCTGCTTACCTGGGAAAATGAGTTCCGAAAATGGGGACATAGAATTCCTTTTCATAACTTTAATAGCAAGGATTTGTCGGGAAATGAACTCAAAACTGATGCAGAATTTCTTCGGAGAGTAGGAAGTCGAATGACAAAGCTCTACTCGTGGACAAAGGAGAAAAGTGTTCTAGGAATCAGCTACAAGTTGTTTGAGCAGATTGCTAGTGGACGGAAGGGAAAAGGAAGTGGTGAAAGGCTTGGGGAAATCTTTCTTCAACTGCCTGGATTTGTGGTTCTTGACGAAGGGCACACACCTCGCAATCAACAGAGTCTTGTCTGGAAGGTTTTGACAGGAGTTAAGACAAAAAGAAAGATAATTCTCTCTGGAACTCCTTTTCAGAATAACTTTGACGAGTTGTATAATACCCTTTGCCTGGTAAACCCAAAGCTTTCTGGATCAGTGACCTTTGAGAGTTGCAGCAGAAGATGGCAGCGGAAGAGCAATGTGGAGAAAGAGAGATGGGTTTCCTTGACCAATGCCATTGACAAGAACTCTGACAATGCTGTAGAGGAGCTCAAAGCTCTGATAGATCCCTTTGTACATGTACACAAAGGTTCTATACTAGAAGAGAGTCTCCCTGGTCTGAAGGACACACTTGTTATTTTGCGGCCAACTGATGAGCAGAAGGAAATTCTTCAGCTTATATTGGATGATTGGAGCAGGTTTGACCAAGTACATTTGGTGTCACTCATTTCTGTCCACCCCTCATTAGCTGCTTTCAGTAAACGCTTCTCTGCCCACAAAGACAGACTAGGGGTACTTGGATGCAGTCCTTATGCTGGAGTAAAGACGAAATTTGCCATTGAGCTCATCCGTTTATGTGATGCATCACATGAGAAGGTTTTAGTATTCAGTGAATTTATTCACCCTTTGAGATTCATAATGCAGCAGCTGATGGATCAGTTAAAGTGGAGGGAAGGCATAGAAGTGCTGTATATGGATGGAAAATGTGACGAGAAGAATCGTCAGTCATCAATTAGTTCTCTGAATGATGCCTCTAGTAAGGTGAAAGTTCTTTTTGCATCCACAAAAGCTTGTTCTGAAGGAATAAATCTAATTGGGGCTTCAAGAGTTGTTTTGTTAGATGTCGTTTGGAATCCTTCAGTTGAAAGGCAAGCAATAAGCAGAGCATATAGGCTTGGCCAAAAGAAGTTTGTGTATGTTTATCATTTGATAACTTCTGGGACCTTGGAGGTTGAAAAGTATGCTCAACAAGCTAACAAAGATCGCTTGTCTGAGTTGGTATTTTCTTCTCGAGTTGGGCAAAGTAACAAGTCTAGAATCTCATCTGTTTTCGAAGATAAAATCTTGGAAGGAATGCTTGACAACAAAATGCTGAATGATATCTTTGAGAATGTTATTCACCAGCCAAAGGGATCTAATGTATTTGCAAACTTCAATTATGTTGAGCACAAGCATTAGCCAAAAGACCTTTGCTGCTGTATCTCTCATTGGTTGTTGATACTGTATCCTATTGTTTGGGAGCTCCAGTGACCTTTCTTCTGGTAGCTTTTGAAACTTGCTGCACTTTGTCATTGAGTATACTCTGGTAGTGATATGAAACTTGTTCTGTGTTTTAGACTTGCTGAACAGTGATAAGTTTTAAAACCTTCTTCAAAGGTTTTTCTGTTCTATTTTTAATCAGCACTGTTTTACAGAATAGATTTTTGTTGTCGTGGTTCTTTTTTCAAGTTTTCAAAACCGCCAGCATGATTTGGTAGTTCTTCCAGCCACATGTTTTGCTGCCTGAGAAAGTACTTGTTCTATGATTGATCAAGTAATTGTTTTGTTTTTAATTCAATGTTATCACTGTGTTTGCAGGGAATAACTACGCTGTGCTACAGGCCAATGGTTCATCTAGTGAAAACTGAAAAGACAGCTTGGTTTTGCTTACAGCTGTTTTTATATGTTGGTTTAACTGTTTAACTTCAGATTGGTTTCATGGTATGGATGGAGGAGATTGCTGATGCTGTTTTTACCCAATGTTCTATCTGCTTTTTTTCAAGCAAAATACCTCATGTTCTCAAGGAATTTTGTAGAATTTGTCACAGTACCATAACCTTGAGCATTTTAAAATTGCAAACAATAGGAGCTCATCCGTATATTTGCAAACAATTGCATTTTAAAATTGCAACCTTAAGCATTTAGTTTCATGGTATGGATGGAGGAGATTACTGATGCTGTTTTTACCCAATCCTTGAGCATTTTAAAATTGCAACCTTAAGCATTTGGTTTCATGGTATGGATGGAGGAGATTGGTGATGCTTTTTTGACCCAATGTTCTAGCTGCTTTTTTCAAGCAATTCTCAAGAAATTTTGTAGAATTTATCACAGTACCATAATATTAAGCATTTTAAAATTGCAAACAATAGGAGCTCATCCATATATTTAGTATCTATTCTCTTTTTCTTTTCAGTATTAACTGCATATCATAGCAATTGTTAAAATTGATAGCTTAAGAGTGCTAAGTGCAAATTTATGATGGTTGATGGGTGCAAATTGTAATTGATCTTTTTTCTTTCACCTACTTTCAAGTTTCACCTGCATCTTCCTGCCCTCTACTCATGCTTTTTTTTCCCTCTCACTCTTGGAGCACATTCTAACCGCCAGTGATCCCATAATTCCATGGTATGTTCTGCAATTTACATTTTTCATTCAACTATTTTTCCCTAAATTTTGGAATATTTGAGGAAGGGATAAATGAAATAACAGGGACTTATGTCCCAAAGGCAATATAGGAAGTTGAAGAGAATCAATTGCAAATATATAACAACCCCCTAGAAGATCCAGTGGACGTGGTCATCCCAGCTTGGCTGCCGAGTCACATTCACCAGTGGATCTCTTTGGTTCAGGGTTGCGGGCCGTGGTGGTAGTGACAGTGTGGGCCTCCCACCTCCTCCTTGCCCATCCTCACCAATTGCTCCAACAACGTCGTAATATTTTAATTACTTATGCCATGTTCTACATGCATGCATACATGCTTTCCTTGTTTTTTTTATTGTAAAATTTTGAAAACAATCCTGCTTTCTCTAGTTATAGGGGCAAGCCTTGCTTAGAGGGTTTAGTTCTGCTCTATTTTAATAGTTGAATGGGAAGTTGTAGTATGAAAAATTCAATGCTTTATGTATATAATTGTAAATGCATGAATTCTGGGGTGTAGATGAGTTTAATTATGCCATGCATCTGTTTTATACAGCTACGTGAGGCTAAGCGAGCTATGTATCAGCTATAGGGTTCCAATGTGTATTCGAATTTGTCTTTTGATTATTTTTTTCAGTTGAGACAGAGCTCAAGTAGCTCGATTAATGTATACAGAAATTTTAATTTTTTGCTTATAAACCCAGTTTTCTCTTCGACTTAAAAGCCTAACAAGATCTAGATCTTATGCAGGGTTTACTTTGATTAGTTGATGAACCAATCTAGGATGAGCTTGATAGTGGAAGATTAAGTTGGTTCATCTTTCACTCTACACTATACTATATTTGATATTTCGGAATTGTTTACTACACCATACTATGATCTTATTACAGTTCTATGGACAAAATTGCATACATACTTGTATATATAGGAACAAAATTATTCCATAGTAATCCTAGTTAGTTTCATGTTCTATTTAAAGTTTGCTTTTCATAAATCTTGATGCTGGATAAGTATGTTTGTAAGTTATAATCACTTCAGATAGTCAGCCATGGATGTTTCTGTATTTTTCTATTGGTGAAGTTTTGAAACTTTTTTCACGAGGGAATGGGTAAGATTTGATCCCTGCCAGATTTTAATTCCAAATCCTGATCCGTAAAGAATCATACAGGGGAAGAATGGCTTATTAGTATGGTATGCAACATGATGTATTAGCACGCTTTTCTTCTCTTTTTCCTTTATAGCTATTTATGGTTGAGTTATTTTTCTTTGACTTGATTTACATTGACTGCTAGAAGAGGGGTACATGGGTTAGGATGGAGTATGTTTTTGAGCTGTCTATGCATCATCATGAATGATTCATGTACTTTATTGGATGTTTGAGCAATTATATAATATCAGTAACTTGCATTAGCTTTGTTAGTTATAAAAAGACTACTGAACAAGGTGGGAAATTTTGGGGGACTGGAGCAGCTATCAGTTCTCATTCTGCCATTGTGCCAAAATAAAAAAAAAAAAATGGTTCTACATCAGGATTTTCAGGTATTGCTAGCATTGTTTGTCAGCTTATCTGCCTATGTTACACAGTATAAAGTTCAAGTGAGTTCTGTTTTCTCTCTTATTATATGATTCCCTAGAGGTGGTTTTAGGAGTATTTTCCTCTCTCTTATCAATGGAAGAGGTAATTATCAATTTGACTAACTCCACTTTAATTATACTATAAAGCCCTGTTGGCGAAGTTTTCTCCTTGTAGATTGCTAGATTGCATTCATTGTTGCAATTTGCAAGGACAATAGTGCAGTTTCTCCTTCCTAATAATTTAGTAATTCTTTTCCCCAGTCAATCTATTGTGGATATAAAACAGTTGGATTATCTTGTTTACCTTTTGTTGAACCTTGTTTGGTCCTCCACACACTTGTTACACTCCTATGCATGTAGGAACTAGTTTATGATTATATCTCCATTCTTGACAATCTCAACCATGAAACACACACCACTCTTTCTCTCTGAGTCACTAGAATTGAAAATTTGAGTATGTGATCATGCGCACCAGATCAGTGGAAGGTAGGCGGAGATGTCATGCCTAATCCCAAAGAAATCAGTTAATGCTGTCCAGAGTTATAAACAAGTCCCCTTGTATCATTTCAATGATTATCTCATCTCCTAGAAGATTGCATAGCTTCAAAATCATTAACACCAGGCAAACTAATCCATCAAAATCTCCTCAAAAACCCAAACTTTTAACATGAAAAACAAATCTTGCATTACGTTACTGGATAAGCTCTCTAAACTCTTTATTACATGCAGCAAACTCAGAGTTAGCTTATAAAATCTTCAACTCAATCCCAAGCCCAGAAAGGCAAAAGAAAGGAATTTTATGGAATCAACTGATTAGGTCCTATGCTTGGGAAGGACCCTTTGAGAATGCCATTGATTTGTACTATGCGATGGTGGTTATTGGAGCCAAACCCACAAAATTTACGTACCCGTCCTTAAAGCTTGTGCTGCATTGGAGCATATAGATAATGGTGTGAAGATTCATGATGATGTAAAAAGAGATTGGCTTGCCTCAGATGTTTATATTTCTACTGCTTTGGTTGATTTTTATGTTAAATGTGGGTGTTTGCTTGAGGCGAGGCAGGTGTTTAATGAAATGCCTGAGAGAGATGTTGCATGGAATGCAATGATTTCAGGGTTCTTGATTCATGGAATGCATGGGGATCTGATTCATTTTGCTTTGGAAATGCAAGAAATGGGAGTAAGTCCTAATTCTTCAACTCTTGTGACCATTTTGCTGGTGATCGGGGAGGTGAATGAGGTGATTGCTGGAAAGGCTGTTCAGAGGTTGTCTGTGAGGAGGGGAATTGATAGTGATGTCATGATGGGAACAGGGCGTTTGGATATGAATGGAAAATGTGGGTGGTTAGTTTATGCAAGGAGGATATTTCATGCAATGACTTTCAGAAATGAGGTGACTTGGAGTGCGATGATTGGAGATTGTATTGCTTGTGATTGCACTCAAGAAAGCTTGGAATTGTTTGAGCAAATGAGGGTGGAGGATGTTGGAAGCCTTCCACCTGTTACACTTGCAACTGTTTTCCAAGGTCGGCTAACTTGATTGATCTGAAGGGAGGAAAACAGATACATGGTTACACTGTTAAGTTAGGGTCCAATTTGGTTTTGATGGTTGCTAATATGCTTCTTTCAATGTATGCAAAATGTGGTATTCCAGATGATGCGACAAAGTTCTTTGAGGAAATGAGTTTCAAGGACTCTGTTTCTTACAGTGCTCTTATCTCTGGATGTATTCAAAATGGAAGTGCAGAGGAAAAAGCACTATATGGTTGGTTAGGAGATTTTCATTAGCTTGGTTAGGAGAGAATACACCACTATATGGTTGGAGTGGCAGAGGAAAAAGCAGTGAAAGAGGAAGCGGACCGAGAAGAAAGTGATTTGCTTGGCCAGCTGTTGGACTATCATTTTTTATAATATTGATGCAGCCGTTTACAAAACTTTGTGAACTTTTGGTTGGAATTTTTTTTTTGGGGATTACCTTGACTATTGAAGAATCTAAGTCAGCCGTCTAGACTTGTAGTCCGTTATCGGGCTGGAACAAGGTTACACTTTGTATTGTGACAATTGCTCTATAAATGTGGATATTTGACTCTTGCATTTTTGCAATCCATTCTTATCATTGGATACAAAGTCAACAAATATTGATCTATCAAAAGGATGATTTCATTTGTTCACAAAATATGTAAAACAAGGAGCTCATTTGTCAACAATGTATACTTTCAAGAGGACGCAAAGTCTGATTAAAAACCACCAACAAGGCTGAATGAAAAGTAGTGAGTTTCATTTTATCGGACACAAAAACCTCTAAAACAGAGAAGTTTATTTTATTGAACACCTTATCTGCGACAACTATGGGATATTTTCTTCTTCTTTTTTTTTTGGGTAGAAATAGGGAATAATGTATTAATTAACCAGAGTTCTGCACTATCTATTATAGAGCAAAAGAAATATTGCAAGGGAGACAAATCCCTTTCAAGTCCACATCATAGACAAAAAGTAAGTTCTTGAGGACAAGTATCAAAAGTTACAAGGCTGGACTCTAGTCTAGTGCTATCAATTGAGGTGAGTCGAGGTCGAGCACCTGATAATCGAACTCAACTTGAACATTTATCGAGCTAGCTCAAACTCTCTCAATTAGTAGTTCGAGCTTCAAAATCTATTCGAGATCAACTCGTCAAACTTAGTTTCAAGTTCGAACTCGAGTTTGAAAATTGAGCAGAGCTTAATGAGCTCGAGTGAGCTCAAGACTCAACTAGAATACAAAGCAACATTCAACTAGAATAAAATTTAGAAAGTACTGAATAAAATAATTAAATATAATGCATTACAAATCTCAAATGAAAGGTAGTCCACGAGTATCCAATTAGTTCGTACATTTATTTTCTAGACAAAACAATGTGAAAAGCATTAAATAAAACTAATTGCCAAAAGCAGTTAGACTACTAATTTCTATCCACTTAGAGCTAATAAAAATCATCTTTAGGGTCTTCAATGCAAATCAATTCATACTCTTCATAATTTGCAAAAGTGGTAAAAATGGGTTGAGCGATAAATTACTCAATAAGTAGTGTCTACCCTTTTGTTAGATCATGCAACCATAGCTTACATATATATGCACACACACACACACACACACACACACACACACACACATATATATCAAATTATTTGCACACAATTCACATGCATAATTATTGAAAATACGTTGTTCATATGACAATCAATAATAATGAGTGACACAGTAACTTATAAACATCCTGTACATAACCGTACATGAAAGCCATATAGTCATAAATCATTTCATATCAGTTCATAACAAGTACATGTAATGATCGGTTTTTGAGTACTCAACCTAGAGATTTAACCTCTTCTGGATGAGCGATGAATAGGTTTCATGACTATCCATTAGTTTCATTATATGCATAGGTCAATTGACCGAACTCTATACCGAACTACCATGATAGTCAATTGATCGGGCTCTATACCGAACTACCATGACTGTTAATTGGTTGGACTTTATATCGAACTACCTTGACCTTGTCAATCGGTCGGACTCTATACCAGGCTATCATGACTATTAGATAGGACTATAACCCCTACTGTTTATTCCATGACTGTTTTGAGTTTTACTTGACATAAATTTATTTCACACATCACATATATAGTTTTTTTATTTCACAAAAGATACCACTCATTTCGTATATAATAACATATCAAAATATTTCAAATAATTCATATGGTCCATCTTTATATAGCAAAAATAGAACTTGCATAACTCCCTAAGTAAATCATTTAATCAAGTAAATTCCAAATTGATACATCAGAATAGAATTGGCAATAAAAATTTTACTTCGAACTTTTGAAATCACAGAAGGGAAATTGCTACCTACCATTGATTAACTGCTCGGTGAAATAGATTTAGCCTGTTTAGACTTGTTCTATACCTATATCTAGTGCATGGGCATTCTAATCAGTTGATATCCCATGTAACCTTGGGATTCATGTCTGGATCTTTTATGTAAAATTTTGAAAACTTTCCTAAATTAAAAGTTTCTAGATTGGTAAAGTTTCCTTATTTGAAAAGTTCCTTTTTCCTTTGAGTAGGTTTCCTAATTTAGAGAATTTTTAGTGTATGTGAGTTTCCCTAAAGTAATTATTCATGATCTCGTCTTTACTTACTACTAATTATTGTTATTTTGTTTTTGTCAATTGTCACTATTTTGATGCTTAATTAATTAGTCATTATTCTATTTTATTTCCATAATTAATTGATTAATTTAAATTTAATTTAATTAATTTTTAAATTAATCAATTAATTATTTTTATTTTTATCATGATGATTAATTAATTAGTTCTAATCATTAGTACTACTTTAATAATTAACTTCTTAGTTTAATTAGTTAATTATTATTTTCAAGTTATAATATTTAATTAATTATTTATTAAATCAATTAATCAATGATTTCTATTTATTTTAGTGATTACTTGATCATTGAATTAATTAATTAATTTAATGATCATTAATTAATTAATTAATTATTCTTATTACATTAATTGATTACTTTACTATTTAAAATTTTGCTGCATCTGATTGGGCTTGAATATTTCCTTCAGTGTCTTCAACTTCTATTGTATGATCAAAGATTGCAAGTTTGTCTTGGAGATTTAGGGTATTATCCTATTGATATTAGTCCCTATCTTTTGATATTTACAAAACAAATGGATGATACTAATATCTCTTCAAGATATACTTTCAGTTATGAAGCAAATCAGATTCAAAAATCAAACGCAATTGAAAGAAACAAAGGTTGCAGTGTGAGAATGGGGAAAAAATATTTTTTTATTATTTTAGGCATTATTTTATTCCTGTGCACATTTATATTTTCTTCATTATATTAACTTTATAGATATTTTTATCAGTAAATATAGTTTTAAAATCATTTTTCTAGTATAAGTTAGTTCATGAGAAATTAGGTGTGTATGTTGGACGTGGGATCAGCTAGTGCGTTAAGTGAGAGAAATTCATCCAATTAGATTAAGTTTTGCATAAAGGGATTTAAATACTAGGTGTTAGGAGATAATTAGAGGTTACCTAAATGGTGTCGCGCCCCATTTTTCGCAATAAAAAAGAAAGGGGTTTATAAAAGATGTGATTTATTAATAATAAATGAAAAATGATCTAGAATGGGACTTAAAAAGAATGCGACAATTGGGGTCCAAAATTTAGTCTAAAAGGGTTTTAAAAAAAAAATAGGAGTCGCCACTTGGTATAGAGTTTTGGTCTACCAAGTTACCCAAAAAATAAAGTAAAATAAAATAAAACCCTTTTTGACAACTCCAAGTCTTTGAAAACAAGAGAAAATGGATTCGGGAGTCACGATTGAAGAAAGGGAAGGTAAAGGTTCGATTAACTCAAATCTAAGGCACCATTTCAACCTAATCTAAGCTAGTTGCGAGGTTTAGTCAAAATTTGCCTAATCTAACCCTTAATTTTATCACGTTTGGATGTTTCTGTGACGCCCCGAAAAGAATGAGAGTGAGAATCCGAAAATTTTCAAATTTTCTAGGGTGTATTTTTTTTATCGCCCGCCTTTTCTACATTTTCTTGATTAGAAAAATTTCCCAGATAAAGTTTATGAGCAAAGATAGTTTTAAAATGATTTTTCTAGTATCGGTTAGTTTTTGAGAAATTAAGAGCGTATTTTGAACGTGGGACCCGCAAGTGCGGTAAATGCATTATATTTTTGACAACTTGTTGAAATTTTGTATTAAGTGATATTATTTTGCAAAGTGTTAAGATATTTGTATTGGAGAGACAAAAAGATAAGTTTTGAACCAAAAGGTGACAAGTGTCACCATAAGATTAAGTCTTGGACTTTGACTACACTATTCCCTACTTTACCAAATAAATCAAAAAATTGCCAAAAATCATCCTTATTTCTAAAGCTTCATAGCCGGCTCTCTCTCAAAGGAAAAGAAAGAAAAGCTATCAATTTCTTCCTTCTATTTCTTGTTCAATCTTTAAATCCAACCAATAAAACTCCAAATCATTCCATAAAATCTCTTTGCTAAGTGGTTTTGAGGTGATTGGTGAAGTTATTTGGAAACTTATGGTGCTAAGTGGTCTCTTTTCTTTGGTTCCAAGGTGAGTAACTAGGGAATGCTTCCTTTGGTCTTGATAATGTCAAAATAATGAGTTGTGTTGATTAAATGTGTGATTGGGTGAAAGATATCTTGATTTTGGTTGAGGTGGTGAAATTTTATAATTATTGGGAATTTTTCTGTTTTCATATGAATATGAGTATGTGGTCATCTATGATGATTGGAAATGATGTTTAAGGACTCTATGAGGTGGAAAAAGTGGTCAATTGCAATCAATTTCTGTTTTGGAAGAAATTTCAGAAAACTAGGTTTTGTGAAGGAACATTCTGCCCGAATTTTTAGCTCCTAGTTAGAGGCCGAATTGGCCTTGGCTTAAAACATAAAAGTTATAGGGAATGACATTTTAGAGGTGCCTACAAAATTTCAGGTCAATCGGAGTAGTGTAGAATGAGATAAGTCGAAATTACTATTGCTGTTCTGGTTTTACCCGAATGTAAGAATTGCTTCTGTAATTGGTTGTTTTGGTCAGGAATGCTTCCGAATTGGTTGTTGAGGTCTTCTGATGAAATGTAGACCTGTTTCTTAGCTTTCAGCTGGTTTTGGAATTTCTGGATTTGGACTTGGATAGCCTGATTTATGATGTTTCCGCTAGAATGCGTTCTGTGAATCTGTTTTTGTCATTCTGGTATAGTTTCTTGCATTTTTGACCTGGTTACACTCGAAACTGGGTTGAATGACCTTCTACAATATTGTAGCCCTGTCTCTTAGCTTCGAAACGGTGGGTCTTGAACCTTCATCCGACAATCGTAGCGCCTTTGGTACCATTACTGTAAAATGACGTCAAAACTTGTTTTTCTGGTTTTGAGTTTAACTTTCATTTCCGAACTTTTCCCTAGCTTGACTTGTACTAGTACAACTTGGAGATTGCTGAATGGCTATTGGATGAACTTGTGGTTGTGTGTGTACCTTTGGATTTGAATGAGGAAATA